GGTTCTTCTCGATGAGGTCAGAAAGCAACTGCTTAAGCACGCCCGTGGCGTACTCCATCTCACCCTGCAGGGCTGTCATGATGAGGGAGGCCACGTTCCCACGGTCACGCATGGAGAAGCTACGCTGGGCCTCCAGTGTACGGATGAAGGTCAACAGGAAGTGCTTCTTGGTCAGCAGCTGTCCGAACAGTGTCAGCGACTTCTCCACATTGGCCTGCACCTGGGGAGGGGGCCACACAGGCCTGCTCACAACACAGGGGCACATGGTCCTGACAGCTAATGCAGGGAAAAGGCCAGGTTGCCCACACTGCACAGCGGAGCTCAGCACCTAGATCCTCCAAGAGACCCAGGCCAGTGAATTGTACAAAGTACCACAGAGCCTAGGCATGGAGAGGAACCAGGATCCCAGGCTAAAGGGCAGTTAGCTTGGGTGAGACCTGGGCACTGCTCTATGCCTAGAACCTCCTTTCTGCCTCCTGAAGCACACTATAGGTACTAGTGTCACCCAGAGGAAGCCACTTGTCCCAGAAATCAGGCCCCTGCCTCAGAGCTCAGAGTCCCAATCCTGAGCAGGCATCAATGTGGGTCTGACCCCATACTCCCTAACCTTTCTCAGGAAGGCCATACCAGCCCCCATTCCCTTGGCTGTCCACCAATCATGCCCTTGGCTGCCCAGCAGCCCCCAGGAGCCTCTGAGCTGGCAGTCCTACCTCCATCTCCTTCAGTACAGGATGGTCCTCAATGCCAGGGAACAGCACTCGCATGGCATAAGTACGGTAGTCAAGGAATGGTATGCCAGCACCATCCAGGTCGCTGGTCAGCTCATGGATGTCCGTCTGTAGCTCTGCAAAGGCTGTGGCCAGATGTGGGGTCAGGGGCAATGTGGGGTAAGGGCAGCATTCCTGAGACTCCCCTCACCCTTCTCTGTTCCAGCCTTCCTGCTGTCTGGCCAGGATCACTGATCCTGACCTTAAAGAAACCAACCAATGTACTTTTCTATGCCTCAGTTTCCCTTGTTTAGGACAAAATTCTCTCAACACCACTATCTCAGCCTCTGCCACCTCCCTGGGACTGAGCCAGAGCCAGTTAGTAGGACAAGATAGGGTCAGTGGTGGTGACTGCCTCAGCAACATCTCCTGCTCCAGCTTCAGTCTCATCCCCCTGCTGACCTTCCTTGCACTCAAGGGCCACGCGTGACTCCAGGTTGTCCATTTGGAGCTGCAGTCGCTTGAGGGTACGGTCAGCATCCCGGGACTTGCGTTTGTAGGCAATGAGCACGGCCACGATGACCAGAAGCAAGAGGCCACCACCCCCACCGATACCCACGATGGCTGGCAGTGTAAGCAGGCTATCTGAGTACACCTGCAGCATCCCAGGCGAGAACTCGAAGCCACCGGCCCGCACCTGCAGATGGGATATGCGTGCTCAGAGGATATCAGTCCCTCAGAGCTTGAGGCCTCTGTCCAGCAGCCCTTAAGCCACCCACAGCACCTGCCTGTGGGTAACATCTCTCCAGCAGGTGACCTGAGTGGCTAACAGGTGAAGATGCTGGAACACGGGTATATGCCCAGGTAGCTAGTGCACGAGCACTCAGCAGTGGGACGTTAGTGAGCGGGATTCCCATTGGTGAAGATGGTGAGGACTGAATGGGGCCTGCATTTGAACTCAGTTCCTTGGGTATTTGCTCAGAGGTAGGCTTGCTTTAGTGGGGGCAGGATTAGTAGGTCAGGAGGTTGGCTCCAGGAGACCATAGCTAGGCTGTGACAGGGATTTTCTGGCTCTCTGCATAAAGGCAAGATGGGAACACACCGTGACTTTGTGCTGCCCTGTGAGATTGGGTGCTTCACACAGCAGCTGGGTCTCAGACACGGTGAGGACACAGGGTGTGGAGCCGATGAGCACCGTGTAGTTGAGCCTGGAATTGCCAGGAGCAGGTGGTAGGAGATTCCGTCCCTGCAAGGAACAGGGTATAGTGAAGGCAGTCCTGGGGCCTCTCCCCTGGCCCTAGCTGCCTATCTCAGCACAGCTTCTGCAGCAGGAGGCCACAGTGGCTGAGACCCACCTTGAGGATGAGTGGGGAGCTGGGCTTCAGCTCCAAGAGCCCAGTAGGGCTGAGCGGCTCCAGTACAGGGTCCGGGTAGTAGAGGAATGTGGAGCTGTTGAGTACCAGCAGCGTGCGTACATTGTCCATGATGAAGCCAAGCTCATCTGGCCGCTCTCCCAGTTCTGGTGGGCTGCGCGTTGGGTTGTGTATAGACGGCGCCCGGCACACCATGGTGGTGTCATTGTACACCATGCAGCTCTGGGACATAGGCACCAGGACCTCAGGCCAGCCCTCCCATTGTGGGCCAGCTACCCGATGACAGCCCACCCTGGGAATAATGGCTCCCTGTGAGGATGCTCTAGGCATCAAGGAAACACATGTTCAAGATGTCCACTCTCTGAAGGCTGAGGGCCCGACATGCCAGAGCCCAAGGCTCACCCCTAGCTGACCACTTCGTCCTCAAGGCCTCAGCACAGATAGGTAAGCATGGGGAGGCAGAAGCAGGGGTGTTAGCAGCAGTAGTTCTGGCCTAGGCAATACCCACATGGACAGGGTGAGGTAGGGGACCAGATGGGGCATTCACTCACATTCTCCCTCTCAACACCTCCATACTTGGCCCGAATTCGAGGTTCACGGACGGTGGCCAGATTGGTGCCTGTGACTGTTAGGAGGGTCCCACCACTAAAGGAAGGAGTGAAGAATCAGACAATGCCCTAGGCCTAAAAGTACAAGAGAGACACAGCCTCTCCCTGTGGGAGCAGGTGGTTCAAAGCTCAGCCAGAGCACTTCTTCCCAGGATTAACCACTGACTTAGGAAGCTGCCAGAGCAAGCCACCATGGAACATCCAGGAGAGGTACTCCCTGACCTACAGTTGGTACCCCTGGCTCCACAGTAGGAATGGAGAAGGGCTTCTAGCTCTGCAATGGGAAACAGGAATGGGTTCCTGGCTCCGCAGCAGGTCTCCCACCTGTTGATGCTCCATTCGGGGTCAATCCTCAGGATGGTGGGGTCTTCAGTGTAGTTGTACTTCACTTCAGGGTTGGAGAGTTGGGCACGGTTGATGTTGATAACAATAGGGGCACTGCCAGGGGTCTGCCCGGGTGGTGTCAGGCAGCGGATCTCTCGAGAATTCCTCCTGGGATGCGGTCAGGATGGATGAGGACATAGTGAGACAGCATGTCAACACACCAGCAGTTCTCCATGGTGGCTGAGCACTGGCTCCCAGGGAAAGGCATGGGCCTCACTCAGATGGCTACTGGGATGACAGCTGTGGCCCTTGAGTGGCCACCAGTGTTTGGTCCTACCCTGGACCCCGGCTGGCCTCCCTATCTTGAGTCTTACCTATACTTGGCTCTACAACCTCCCTCAGGCATGAACTTCACCCTATTTTCCTACTGACACAACCTGCAATGCAGATGGGTGAAATGGACCCTGCCTGCTACTGGCTATTCAGGAAACCCTGGCCAAGCCTCGTAAGCATCAGTCAGCCATCTTAGTCTACCCTGCCAGGCTTGGGACAAACACATCTTGCAGATGATAGGCTGCTGCTCAGAAGGCCAGAGACACTAAACTACACACCTGACCCTTCCCACTTGCCAGCACTGCCTTCCTCAGACCTCTGCACACAGAGCTCCACTACCACCAAGGGCCTTGAACAAAGCAGTTCCCTCCTTCCCTGCTGCACACATACCTGGAAAATGCCCTGCTCCTAGCAACGGTACGCTGGCCTGGGGAATGGGGTCACAGGTCACCTTCATTAACAGTCAGCAAGGCAATACCTGTTCTGAGGCCCTGTCCCTCGGCTGTATTACCTCAGCCTGGAGGCCCCACAGCCGCCAGGCTGCAAACACCAATGATTAGCCTGATAACGGGTAATTACCACAGGAAAATATTTAAAGGACCGTTCCATTATCATCTTTAATCTAAAATTATCCACTTCAAGCCTCAAGGCTTTTGTTAAGATGTCTATTTTCTCTATTAAACTTTTAAAAAATACTTTTTATTTTGCTTGCAAGAGAGATGTCTCCCTTCTCCTTAGGAGGGGCTAGGGTGGTCGCAGTAAGTTGTACCCACTGAGGCCAGGCCACACCCCTTCCCACTCTGGAGGCTGGCCCTCTATCTCCATGGCAACCTTTTCTGCCTCTAGGTTTCCATAGAGATCACCCCACCAGGTTTTCCATACCCGTTACCCAGGCAACAGGAGGGGACAGCAGAGCCAGGAGGGAAAGCTCTGTGGCCTGACTCCTCTCACCCCGTACCCACCCCGTACCAGGAGAAGGAGCAGGGCCGGCCACCAATGGACACAGCCACATCACTGCCTGCATTCAGATGGCTTCCTTCGATGCCAATCCATGTTCCTCCGGACAGAGGCCCGCGGGAGGGGCTCACGCGGTAGAAGGTTGGTGTCTGCAGGAAGATGATTTGTTGGAGGGAATTCCCTCTTGGGTGCATACCCTAGCATCTGGGTCCCTTACTCTGTGTCCCCAGATAGTCAGACAGCCCAGGGGGCAAGGGTAACCACTCCCTTGTGGCTGGGCTCAGTCTAGGTATGGGCAACAGGAGCAGTGTCCTATACTAGACATGAATCCAGGCCGACTTCTGCAGCACCCCTAGACACTTTCTGGGGGTAACAAGAAGTAGAGGGCTGTAGGGTGGGGCTTACCACAAAGGTGAAGCGCTTGGGGGACAGGGCTCGGTAGTGGGGGGAACAGTCCCGCACACACACCTCCACCAGGGCGTCATGGGCCCGCAATGTGCTGGCATCTCCGATCTCACAGACAATCCTGTGGGCATGGTGGGACTCAGCACCGCAGAATGGCTCCCCAGGCCACCCAGGCCCCTCACCACCCACTGTGGTCTGCCTTACTGCTCTGCACTGATGTACTCGCTCTCCACAGGGCTGCAGAGCACCTTGCCCACGTGCACTCCTAGACGCACATCCTCGAACCGCAGGCCCAGATTCTCGCCAGTGATGGTGAGCCTTGTCCCTCCCTGCCGAGGGCCTGTCTCTGGGGACAGCTGCAGGAAGGTAGAGGCTGGGGCGGACACAGCAAGGTCTACCGTGCCAGGTGAGAGGAGGAGGTGGGTGGGCTTATAAGGGTGGGGCTAGGCAGGTATTAGACAGGGTTTTCAGATCCTACCTTGAGAATCTTGGGGTCTGTGCAGCGGCTGCTGCCATGATGGGCATGCATCCAGGAGGTTGGTGAGTCAGCTGGGCAGTGGTGACGTAGGGAACAGCGACGTTCAGCTACACACCAGCCACACTCAAAGCGTGGGTCTGCCTTGAGGCAGAGGCCACAACTCTGGCGCAAGGCTGGGCACTTGTAGAGGTGGGCTGTGACAGGAAGGCTGGTCAGCATGGACCCATATGCCATCCATTCACCCAGACCACCAGCCCTTCTACTCACCCTGTATGTTCTGGGGGTTGTCAATGACAAAGTTGCCATTCCACACAACTGATAGGTTCACAGGCAGGTCACTGATATCATTTCCCTCATAGGAGTACTGTTGGAAGCAGTCACAGTGGTCATGCCACATAGAGGGTCAAGGGTGCCTGTGGGGGCCCCTCACCATCTCTGAAATTGACTATTGAATGGGCCTGCCTACATGCAAGATGAACTAGAACACATATAGCTCTTCTGCCCTTCTCTTCACACAGGACTTCTCTTCTGGCTCCATGGCCCTGCTCCCTCCTACCAAACTATCTCCAGTAGCCATGAAGAAGCCACATCCATCGCCAGCCTCCAGTGCTATCCTCCAAGATTACCTCAGACACCACTTCCAACACCAGGGCAGCCTTGGCTGAGAGCTGCAGTCAGCCATCTGGGAAAGCAGGGCTAGCTGGGCCCAAGAGCATCAGGAAAGCTCTGTGAATATCAGTCTTTGTCTGCTAAGCAGGTCAGGACTTCTGAGGTATGAGGTATTTAGGACCCCACAGTCTGAGCATAGATCAAAAGACCACTGAGAAAAGATTGCTGCACCCACCTCTACCTAGGTTGGCCTGCACTTAGGGCAAGAGCTACAAGGGCTGGGCCTAAGCTTAGCTGCCTCTCACTTTCTGCAGCTGATGACCTCAGCTCTGTCTTGTGTTCGGGCTGAGGCAGGCAGCTTGACGTCTCTGAGGGGCGGCTCAGCAATTCATCACTATTTTATCTGAAGGAATTTAATTGGATCCTATCAAATTCCCTGATACTCTCTCTTCCCTTTAAACACTGCTGAAGGGAAGATAAATGGGGGTCTACAGAGAAGGGGACAGCAGAGATGAGGGGTGGAGAGACACAGGAAGCAGAAGCAAGAGAAAAGGGGTGATAAGAGTCAGAGGGGGTGTGTGTGGGGGTACAGGTTATGTGAGGAGACAGTAGAAGGAAGGGAGGTGACCAACAGCATGGGAAATGGGAGAGTGCAGCCTTCCCTGCTGGGCAGAGAGTTGTCCTTCCACTAACCTGCAGTCCACGCTACCCTGGCAGTAGACTTAACCCCAACCACTGCCCTGTTTGACCGCTATCAGCTAAGGGCTGCTGGAACCAGGGGGTGGGGACAACTAAAGCCTTGTCAATCGTTCTGTGTACACATGCCCTGCCAATCTGATCATAAACCTGTTCCAAATAATTCATTGCCCTCTTGACTATATGAATCCTGGGCAGAGGGGAAAATGAGGCCTCAGTAAGCAGTGAGCCAGAGGAAAGTTTGAACCTGAGCTTGAGCCCCTGTGCACCAGAAGGGTCTGTTTTATAAAGAACCTGCTCTAGATAAGTCAAACACCAGATTTGCTGAGTTCAATGACAACTTTGGGAATGTCACTGTGAGGTATGAGTCTTCCACCGAGGGTTTTCCCTGACCCCCCCCAGCAAAGCCACCTGCTGATGTTCAGATGGCTGTGGTGTGGACACTTTCCTTAGTGGTCATTGTATCTGGCTATTTCACTAAGGAACTCAGAGCCACCATGAGCCCACGTCCCTATACCACTCATACTCATTCAAGGGCTCGATGGTTGGCCAGGGAGCCAGCAGAGCCCTCTGACCTTCCTGAGGCACACCTGGCCTCATACATCATTTTGGCCTATTTTCCCTAACAAACCAGGTCTGGGACTGGATGGGCAATGGCCTAGTCCAGAGCATGGCACACCCCCACCTTGCCTACCCGCCTGCTGTTCCCTCACCGAGGAGTTCTGGCATTGCAGGCTGGAGCTGTTGAATCGCAGTGCAGTGACGCGGGCTGGGCTGCCTGGGATGTGGAAAAGGCACTCGTATCCTCGCTGGCCTGACTGTGGCTGTGGCAGGTTCCGTGCAGCCAGGGTGATGGGCTTCACCACACCCACTGGCACATAGATGTGGGTAGAAGGCAGGATCTGTGGGCAGTCCTGGGGATAGCAAAGCTCTGACTGAGCTGGGTCTGGTGGCCAGCAAGAAGTGAAAGTTCCACTGTGTCCCAGGCTGTGGTGACTTACAAAGCCCAGGCTCCTTGTGTCATTTTGTAACTGAGCACCACAGGGACAGTGGTCTTTAGGTCCTGCTCCCACCAGGCTGTAGCTTCACAGAGGTCAGCCTATTCACCCTGGCCATAACCTAAAACCCTGCTACTCTGGGGCCACAGGTACCCCATCTGGTCCACAGATGCACAGACCCAAAGTAGGAGCCAAGAATGGAGTATTGGGGTAGCAGGCTCTCAGCTGGGGGTCTGGAAGCATATAAAAATAGCCTGGGCCCTGTAGAAAAACAGGCACCCCCAGGGCCAGGGTTTCAGCAACAATAACTGATGCAATGCCTGGCTTGCTTGCAGCATGGCTGGCAGCAGCCTCAGGAGGAGGTGCCCCGTGGGAGCCTGTGGAGCAGCTTTAAATAGGGATGCTGAAAACAGGCCTGATCCCTGAGGGCTGCCTTGGTTCCCAAGGTGGATATAGCCCCAGGATCTGCTCTGCAGGGCCCAGAAGGGCCTGAGCTCTGACCCAGTCTCTCACCGTTTGACCCTAGAAGATCTGAAAAGGCTCAATGGGCCAGTCTGTGGCATGCCCCTGTATCCATCCACTGGGCACTAGCCCCAATTTAGGTGGCAGTTCTGGTGGAGACACTGGTATGCAGGGCCACATAAACACTGTTGCTACCATCAGAGGCACATCTGGTAACTATAGCCCAAGACTTGGTCTGTGATGGGACCCAGCAGAGAGAACAACCAACTTAGGCTCAGCCTGTCCTAGAGCCCCTAACAGCCCTGCTGAGCTGGGCTTACCATCCACCTACTCAAACATACCAGGTTGATTCCTGCATTGCTCACTATTCCCTGAAATACCCTTGTGAGCAGGCAGACATGGACCCTGGCCAGATCCTCCTGCTTGCCCATTACTCCAACAATTCCCTCCCAGCTATCAATCCACTGGCCACACCATGGACGGAAGGCCTCTCTGGTGTAACTTCTCCTCACCTAGACTCCAGTATTCTTTCCAAGCCCAGCAGCATATCTTCTAATTATGAATTCCAGAACTCACAGGCCAGGCTAAGTGGGGCCCTCTGGGGGCACACAGAGTCTAGCTGAATTAATCCTACCAGCCACTTGCACCTCAGGCCTGCTGATAGGTCATAGATCCCTTTGGATCTATTGGTTCAGGGCCAGGGACCAGTAGCTCTGAAAAGTCTAAACCAATTCCTTGTTTCTCAGCAGTTCAGGGAGAGACTGGCAGACACCTGGGTAGTGGAGCCAGGGTCCCTGCCTACGGGCTCCTGATTCCACCTTTACCCAAGGATCAACCCAGAAGTAGCCAGAGAAGGGGATGTTTTAGGACTCAGGTCAGGTTCCTAGACATCTGATCCACAGCTGTTTTCCTCATGCAAACAAGTCTGCTTCTCTATTGGGAACTCAGGTCATCCCAAGGTCTGGCAAGGGAGAGAAGCCAAGAGTGAGGCCCACCAGGCCACTTGGGAGGTCCCCTGATGGGTTTCTGTGGAAGGCCAGGTGCACCTCTCCACTCCTACAGTAAGGTCAGAACGCAGTACTAGGAGGACATCCCAGGTCTCCGGGACTATCAGCATGAGCTCTGCTGACCAAGCTTCCGCGAGGTTCCTTCTAGGGCCGACCACTCCATCCTGGCTGCCCATCTCACTAGCTGCTCATCAAGCCCTAAGTGAAGCAAGGGCGGCCAGGTGAGTGCCTACAGGTCTCTCTCCGTCTCCAAGCCAGTATCTGGGTATACAGAAAAGCACCTGGGGCTGGAAAGTCGCAGGATTATGTGAGCCTGCATGAGGTTCCCCCAGAGCAGAGGTCAGGAGATGGGGTCTGCTGCTTGCCACTGTCTATTCCAGGGTTTGCAAAGACTTTATTTGCTAAGTCTGCGGTTAAACAGCACTCCTGATAATCCATACAAAGCTGCAAAGACGAGTGAGCACCTATGGGATTAACCCATCCCCAAAGAGCCCTGCCTGACCCCAGCCCTGTGCAGACAAACCAGGTATCCATGCTTCCCATCCCACTCAGCACACATGGCTTTGCTGAGGGCCTGAGCAGGGTACTACCATTCCAGGACGACGTTTCCTCTGTTTAATAACATTTCCTGGAGGTGATGGACTAGTCCGGGCAGGATCAGAAGGACACCAGAGAAGAAACCTGGGCCACCTTGGCCTCAGGACCAACAGGGTCCCCCACATTCTACTAGCACTTTGCTTTCTCTAGGGCACTGCGCAGGCCTCTCTGGAAGTGGCCTCAGGGCAACCCTGGCCAGCTCCCAAGGCCTCTGGTTTGGCTCCTGTTGCCTACCCTAGATACTGTGATCCAGTTCCCTGGATGCTACCTCCCCAGAAAACCCAGTCCACCCCACCACTGTGTCCCTGGCCCCCATCAGGTTCAGAATCCTGTTTCTACTACTACCTTGTCCTAGCAGAGTTAGGCCAGCAACTAGCGGGAGGGGTGCAGGGGCGGAGGGAAGTCCAGAGGAGGGCAGGCTCATGGAGCCCCACTCATACATAATGACCTTCAGCCAAGGTTTCTAGACCAGTCCAACTGGACTGCAGCCCCCACAGACCCAAGTGGTAGAATTCATGGCCTCTTCCTTCCCAACCCCACGAAAGTAAGATGAATGGGTCCTGCTTCAAGTCCTGTTCCCACACCAATATGGACCCTAACCCTGTCCCAGCTTCCCATTCACGCAGGCATGCAGGCCTGCATGCCTAAGGTATCACAGGCTCCAGGAAGAGTGCCCTGCCCTGCCACGCATACAGTCAGATTCAGCAGCAAATACCATGCAGAGCTTAATAAACCCGCACAGCTCTGCTGAGACCCCCTGGTCAGGCTGCTCCAGCCCAGGCTTCAGTAGGGGTCCTAATCTCCAGTCTGTCTCCTAAGGATTACAAAGGACACTCAAAGACACCAGCAAAATTCCCAGTTTGGCCTTAGGCTATGACATTTAGGAAGTTGTCCCCACCTTGGTCACACCTCATAGTGTACAACAGGTACTCTAGCCACCTATGGGAATTGTTGGGTAACTTCCTGAGGGTCACTGGTACTTCTGAAGTCTTATTCAGCCTTACCTCAGACACATTGACACGGCCTTCCAGAAAGGCACAGTCGGCCGCATTGTTGGTGCACACATGACGGTATTTGCACCAGTGGCAGGGGAAGGAGCCGTTGACACATGCCAGGCAGCTGCAGGGGGAAAATGGACAGTTAAATCTAGGGGCGTAGTAGCTTTTATTTCCATCATGGGTCCTGGCGTGCTGTTACTCTTTGGAGTGCCGGCGCCTTTGCAAAGGCTGTTCCTGGCAGAGAAGATAACCAGACCCTCTACCTGCTGCACAGGTCTTGTTGAAAACGGCCTTGCCTCCTCTGGCTCTCTTCGCCTTAATCAAGCACTGGTCACTGTAGTGACTACTGGCTCTTATGACTGAGAACCAGAACGTGCTTCTAAGACAACAGAAACATGCTGCAGGCCCACTCCAATGGGCTCAGGTAGCAAGTGGTTCCCCCAGCTACTCAGAGCCTCAGTCTACCTCCACCTGTCCTATCCAAATCAGCTTCCCTTGGACAGGTGCTGCTCAACCTGCATCTCATAATCCTGGGAGTTTGTAAAGACGGCCTTGTGGCCTCTGGAAAACACCTTTTACCTGCTCTCCAGGATCGCCCTACCAGTTCTGGTCACCCTTGCTCCTGAATACAAACAACTCCAAGGGCGCCTGGCGACAACAGTCTCCTGCTCTGAAGATAACCTACCCGTCCTGGACAAGAGAAGGCCAACAAATAAAAGCATGACCAAAAAGCCAGCCAATCCCACCTCCCAGGCCAAACCTGTTCAAGTTCTCTCTGAAATCCCCACCCTTGCCCTGGCCTTCTAAGGATCCTGTCTTGACCAGTGCCCTGGCTAGTGAATGGACTATAGTTTGCCCCCAGCTCCCTTGTATCAGAAGCGAGGTGCTCACAGCCAAGGTGGGAAGCAACAAACAGAGCTGACTTCATCTAACAGCCAGAAGTCCCAGGACTAGGCGAAAGTCAATGGCTGGCTGTCCTACTGTGCAGCAGCTATAGCCAGGCGAAGTTGGCACTAAGGTGCCATGCCTGAGCCCAGATCACAGTCTCCCTCAGAGGTCCTGGCCCCACTCTGGTGACCAGCAGGGCTTTTCATAGGTCAC